AGGTTAGGGTTGGGGTTAGGATTAGGGTTAGGGTTAGGGCTAGGGTTAGGGTTAGGGCTAGGATTAGGGTTAGGGTTAGGGCTAGGATTAGGGTTAGAGTTAGGGTTCGGTTCATCATCGTTTTTTGTCCTTTTAAAAACATGTTTTTCTTCGTGGGTTTTACTGAAAAATGTTGATTAAAGGCACAAACAAATGTAAATGTCAATCTCCACGGACTCTCACCCTATGTGAATGACCAAATTTGGGGACTATTCTGGCTAATTTCATCTCTGAAACAATACGACCCCCACCTCCCCCAGTCGCAAATATCTCGATTTGTATTTACGACAGATAGTATTTCGTTCATCAAAAGAAAGCCAAAAGTACAAGCTTTAAGGCAATACCAATAACTCCGCATTCCAACAAAATTGAGTTCTCTGTTTTGTAATATATATATATAATCTTTATTTTATCTTTTATAATAGAGTATCCCCGTCTGACGGCTGTGATGTTGTACACACATCAACTCTGGTGGACCAAGCTGGGCACAGTCGCTGCCGCCCGCCTACTGAACAACCTAGACTGTGTCAATAGCGACGTAAAACGTCTACAATGAACAAGTAATCTGCACAGGCCGTAAACAGCGAGAGTTTGTCGATAGCACCAGTATAATATACGCGCGTGTTTTTCAATAGGTATCAAACTGTTTTCACGAGATGTTGAGAGCGATTTGGGGGAAGAGCTCACCAATGTCTACTCGGCTTATGTTGGAGAAAGGCACACCGATGTCTACTTCACTTTTGTCCAGCACGTCTTATCACAACTAAGAGCTTGTGGAATCTCCGATAAAAGCTCCGTCTCGATCATTCTCGATAATTCTCCGTCCCCGCGGAGCGGACAGTAAAATATCCCCCGCCATTTCTCTCTCCATCGGCCTTGCCCGGGGTGTCCATTAGGTATAGACCTGGGTGAGTGACGTCATCATGCCACGGATATTCTCCAGGTCCTCAGGGGACCAATCCGGGTTTGTGTGGACAATTTGTGCGTCGGAGATCACCGGTGTGGGTGTTATCTCCCGCAGACATATCGGGGGCCGTTTATGATGGGCTACGGGGGCTCCTTCACGGAGATAACTGTGAGATATCGTGGTGAAATCAGACGCTCGTCAAAATATGGAAATCGAAGAAAACAGCGTTTTTATTCCTGTTAGGCAATTTTTATCGAATTTTTATTTTTTGACTCAACACCTTTTATGTCCATTTTGAAACACCTTGCTGTGTGGATTTTACTGAAAAACATTGATTAAAGGCACACACAAAAAATGTAAAAAGTAGTAGTTTCCAAGAACTCTAGCTTCGGAAGTCACCTAACTTTGGCGGCCATTTTAAAAACAAATTTTACCTCTGACACCAGATGACCTCCTCCTCCTTCAATCGCAAACATCTTGACTAGTACTAAAGATAAATGGGTAATTTTTTCATAGAAAGGAAGACAAATAAACCAGTTTTAAGATGATGCCAATAACGCCACTTTCTCAAAAACTGAC